CCTCAGGGAACCAAGAAGTCCCTGCAGTTTTCCCAATTCCCTAGTGCCTAGAGAATTGACAGAATTGGGCATATGCTTCCTGATAGGGAGTCTGTCCTTGTCCTCTATGCTGCGGGAGGTGCACCCAGGTCCATGGCTTTGAACCGAACCAGTGGACCGAGAGCCTGAGAACATCAGGCTGAGTTTGAGACAGCTTCATAACTGACTGCTTGAAAAGCACCTCCAAGCCTTCCTAGGTGCTTGGAGAGTGACCCCAACTGAAGTGCAAGAAAGAAAGTGGGGGGGAGGCTTACATAACCTTCCAGTCTCAGCTGGAGAACTTGGGGTTAAGCAGTTTTCCCATTATGGGCCACCAAAATGTTGAGGTTTAAAGGTTCTGGGGTGCTGGGACCCCAAAACCACAATGACGGGTCCTGCCCAAAAGAATTTGACTCAAGCCTTCTTTCAGCCAAAGACAAGGTTTATTAGAACATCCATCATATTGGGCAGACTTTTAAGGGGTCTGAACATGACTGAGCTATTGGCCAGATTATAAGAATCTGAGCAGTGGCTAGATTTTAAGAATCTGAGACAGGGTTCATTGTTAATGAGCAAGCAGAAATGGCTTTCTAGTTTCCCCAAGGGAGAACTAATGACTGAGATTGAGAGAACAGTATGTGAAGGGGGCTGACATTTGCATGGCCACCCAGGCTGTTAGAGTAGCTAAAGAAAAGTGTTTAGGAAAAAAAAGAAGTTATAGATAAAGCCAAATATACTGCTTAAGGATAATGAGAGGGCAATCTTGGTATGTACAGAGACAGAGAGAGCAAACCAGGCCATGGAAGGTGGGGTGAGGCATGAGTCTGGTAAAAGACAGAACTCTCAGTCTGGATGGGATATAGAGAAGACAAATTTCAGAAAACACAGACCTGAAGGTAGAAAAAATTGGAGATCCCAGCTCAAAGGGTAGGCTGGACTTATGGGTTAGACAAAGGCCCCCAAATCCAGGGAAATCATTAAGATAGGTCATCCAAGATGAGAAACACCACATTATCATGTCTATCCTTCCTGATGACTGGGATTCGAACCAAGGCTAGAAGGCTAATTAAGAAGTCGAATCTGCTCCGATTCTAAATCTAGCATCCATTCCATGGTAGCCCATGTCCCCCGAGATGCCCACCTCAGTGCTTGGAGGCTGGCCTCCTTTGCTTCTATTACTAGCCTGAGCTGAATCATAGACTTTTCTTTATTGTTTTTCAGCATAGCAAGAAGAGGCCTTAGAGAACAGTTTCCCTTGTTATTTGGAGTCACACAGTTTCTGTTTCATTCAAGAATTGCCTCCATGCATATAACCATTTACAATAAGGAGAGAAAACAGGATCTAGAAGTGAGACATTTTTCTGCTGAGATCAGGACCAGAAGAGGGCGCCCTAAGACCAAGGGAAACACTCCCCCAAACGAAGGGGGAAAAAAGGGTTTTGTGCTGCCTTGATGATAAAATGCCACTCTTAATTATGCTAAAACCTTTTCATGAAATAGTGAGACCTGCTCTAGATGTGAGAGTTACTAGAAGATATGATCAGAAAGCCAGGAAGCCTGCACTCTAATTCTGGCTCTGCCATTATCTAGCAGTATGATTTGTAGCAAGTCATTTAACTTCTAGTCTATAAAGTGAGGAGGATTGGGCTAGATTTTCTTAAAGGTGCCTTTCAGGTCTCACATGCTCTGAGAACGTGAGGCTTATCATTAGACCAACAACTCAAGCCCTAATAAGTAACAATAACATAGAAGCAGCAGCAGATGAAGAAGTGAGCAGCTGAGGAAATGAAACCAGAAGAAATCAGAAGAAACAAGAATCACAGGGCCATATAGACTCAGAATGGGGAAAAAAAAACTTTAGCGATCCAACTCCCTCATTTTACAGTTGAGGAAACTGAAGTGCAAAGAGGTTCAGTGACTTGTCCAAGACCACACAGATACTATGTAGCAAAGCCGGCATTATAAAATCTTGTTTTATATACTGTATTGTAAACTACTCTAATATTAATTACATATTATTCTATTATACATATTTTACTATATTATTATAATACTATATTACATACAGTATCAAAATATATATGCCATTATAAAACCATTATAAAGTTCAGGACCCCTGCCTTGCCTCATTGTAGGCTAATAGGATAATTCAGCCCAAAGAATAAACAGAAGTAAACAGAAGAAAAAAGGAAATTGAAATAATCAGAAGAAACAAGAATAAATAAAAAATTTCAAAACAGTTCTGAAAACCACAAGTGAAAACATGGGACATGGACGACAGGGCCATTCTTCTGTTTGAATTCCTCTTTACCAGAAGAATGTCTTAATTCTTGAGAATATCAAGGGATTATTCTCCAGTACAATGCTTGGCACATAGCAGGTACTTTTTTTTGAGTGAAAAGTGAAGGATACATTGACTTAGGGCTATGTAAGTCTTCCATAAATGTCACTGGCATCACAACCTTCATGTTGATGCCCTGAAGTCTGGTGGTGCATATTTACTTATTTTTTTTTTAATGCCTTTATTGCATCAGATGACAATCTGTTGCCATGGCCCATTGATTTGACTTTTGCAGCATCTCTTGAATATGCCTCTTTCTCTCCTCTGACAATGCCACCATTATAGGGCAGGCCCTCATGACCTCATGCCTTGAATACTGCAACAGCATGCTAGTGGGTCTGCCTCAGGTCTCTTCCCACTCCAATCCATTCTCCATTTAGCCACCAAATGATTTTCCTAAAGTACAGCTTTAACCATCACCCCTCTACTCAATACACTCCAGCAGCCTCCTATTGGCTGTAGAATCAAATACAAAATGCTCTGGCATTCAAAACCCTTCATAACCTAACCCCATTCTACCTTTCCACTCTTTTTATATCTTACTCCCAGTCATGGACTCTTCATGTTAGTAACACTGGCTTCCTCCTGGCTCTTCCATGAACAAGACACATCATTTCTCAGCCCTGGGCATTTTCTCTGGTTGACTGCCATGCCTGGACTTCTCTCCCTCTTCATCTTCACCAATCGACTTCCAGGGCTTCTTTCTTTTCTTAAACTAATTAATTTATTTTTAGTTTTCAATATTCACTTCTATAAGATTTTGGGTTCTAAAATTATCCCCCTCCCTCTCTGCCCTCCTGTCTCCCCAAGACAGCATGGAATCTGATACAGGCTATACATGTAGAATCATATCACACATATTTCCACATTAGTTATGTCATAAAAGAAGAATCAGAACAAAAAAGAAAAACCATGAGAGAAAAAAAAAAGAGAGAAAATAGTATAATAGTATGCTTCAATCTGCATTCAGACTTCATAGTTCTTTCTCTGGCAGTGGATAGCATTTTCCATCATGAGTCTTTTGGAATTATCTTAGGTCACTGCATTGTTGAGAAGAGCTAAGTCTATCAAAGTTGGTCATCACAGAATGTTTCTGTTGCTGTGTACAATGTTCTCTTGGTTCTACTCACTTCACTCAGCATCAGTTCATGTAAGTCCAGGTTTTTCTGAAGTCTGCCTGTTCATCATTTCTTAAGGAACAACAGTCTTTTATTACATTCATATAGTATAACTTATTCAGCCATTCCCCAACTGATAGTCATTCTCTGAATTTCCAATTCTTTGCCTGGCTTCTTTTAAATCCCAACAAAAATCCCATCTTTTAAAGGTAGTCTTTCTCCACCCCTCAATTTATTTCCTATTTATCCTGGGGTGTGTGTATGTGTGTGTGTGTATGTACATGCGTAATACATAGACACACACATATTAGATTATGAACTCCTTGAGGGCAGGGTCTGTCTTTTGCCTATTTTTTTTTTTAGCTTCAGTGCTTATCACAATGCCTGGCACTGAGTAGGCACATGATAAATATTTATGGAGGTGATTAAGCCACAGACAGAAAACCTTTTAGTTTAGTTTTCTCAGGTTCTATCAATGCAATCTCTACAACTGCTTTCTTCATGCAAAGGATATTGGCAGATGGAATGAACTGATGGGAGCAAACCAGACGATATTTTGTTATTGCAACTTGTGATTTTACAGTCTTTTTGCTGTAGCTTAAGGACTATTCCAGAATCTTTCCTTTAAAATTTAGTTGGATATCCTATTCAATGTGCTGAATGCTTCTGAAACATTACCTCAAAAACATAGAGAAGGTCCTGTGTATCACCTAAAAAGCAGGTTTGCTAATAAGAGGTACCACATGTCACTCTGGCTTTCTGAGATTATACAGGGTATCCCAAGTCTTAATGGAGCTTAAGCTTTCAAAAATTTAAAACTTCACTAAGACTTTTGGGACACTATATATATAGGTGCTATCAGAGGTTGGGATGAACCAGCTAAGGAATGGCTGATTCTTATGATAAATTCATGTCTCAGTTTGGGGCCATATCCAGATGTTCAGAACAATGTATCAAAAAATAAAAGCTCAGACAAAATATTTTTGGATTCCTGAAAAGACAAGTTGAACTTGTCTTACGGTTGTGTTTGAGGATCAGGAAGTAATTTCATACAATCATAGTTCAGAGTTGAAGGGCCCTTCGAGGTCACCAGGTCCAATCTTCTCATTTGAAAGAGAAATTGAGGCCCAAAGAGATTAAACAACTTGCCCAAGGTTACACATGTACTACATGGCAAAGACAGGAGTCAACCCAAAGTCCCGATGCCAAATCCAGAGCTATCACTGTTATACTGTATTGATGAATGACAGCATTTTTAAATCAAAGACAGATCCTCAGAGGAGGAACACTTGGTGCCAGTTCGTGATAGGCTCTGAGGCCCCTTTTGGAGGCAGAGGGGGAAGGAATATTGTCATTGTTATTTAACTTGTGTTGTTATACAACTTTCTAAGTGGTTTTTCTTGTTTTTCTCTTCAGATAGCTTGTACTCTCCTGATAACTTTACTCCCTCACACCACCTAGAGTATTTGAACATGAATGCATAGGACTGACTCCCTGCACCCTGAGCATTTCCCACCCAATCCATAGGTGAGTTTTGGAGATGGAGATATATCCTGTCCACAGGTGCACTGGGCCTGCCCAATCCCTTAATTGTTCATGAGAAGGTAGACATTCATGGGGTTCTCTTGCCACTCAGGCAGGCAGGCCAGGGAAGCAGCCACCTCCTCCTTGACAGGCCAGCCCCAGGTCTGGAAGAAAGGAGTCAGATTCCTCTGCACTTGGTGAGAGAACTTTTTCACCCACAGGTTCATCTTGCCAGCATTGTCATTGGGCACCCTAGATAATGTCTGGTATTCAGTGAAGAGCTGGGTGAAAGGCTCCCAGCCAAAGGCCTCCTGTAGCTGAGAGAAGAGAAAGAGAAAAGGGGGTGGAGTGAAAGGTCTGTTTCCAGCGACAACCCAGCACATGAGTATCAATGACTTCACTTTACTGCAGTAAGAGGCTCCCTCTTGAATATTAGTGACATTCCCACCATTTGAACAGAATTTCCTTCTCTCCTACACTAAACATCCATTTGGACATGATCAATCAGTCTTATTCTCTACTAGCCACCTTGGGTAAATGACTACTTTCAAGAATGCTTAATCACTCTAGTAGAAATTAGGCCTTAGTCAAATTATGACACATTGATACTATGTAATATAATCCCATGGTCATACCAATAATAATACCATAATAATGGTAAAAGAGGGGACACCCTTTGTGACTAGACCTACAAAGAATGCTTTATGGTAATGTCCAATAGTCTTTATAATCATAATTAGTTAAGAGAACATTTATCTGGGCTACATAAATTAGAATGTTTATTTCTGCAGAGACCCTTAAAAGAAACTCTGCAACATACTTTTTATCTACTCCCTCATTTATCTTCACCTTTTTACTAGGCAATAGTTAGGGATGGGACTATCACTCCCATTTTGTGGCTATACAAGTAAAGCACAGAGAAGTGGCAACAGGATATCTAGCATCATGAAGGTCCAGAATCCATGAGCTGATATAGATGGGTACCTCGGGCAAATCGCTTAAACTCTCTCAGCCTCAGTTTTCTCATCTGTATATGGTAGCACTTATGTTACAGGGTTATTGTGAGGACCAAATAAGAAAACTTGTAAAAAGCACTTTGTGAACCTTGAGGCACTATATAAATGCTAAAGGAGGAGGAGGAGGAGTAGTAGTAGTCTTCCCTTCTCCCTCAATTCATTTCCAGTACCTGCAGATAAGTCTCCAGTGCTGTCCAAACACTCCATTCTTTTAGGGGAGCCCCTTTTCTCAGGTATTCTTGTACCCTGGTCTCCCTATGTGAGGGAGTCAGTGCAGGGTGGGCCTGGCTCCGGTGGATGCCCAGCACCATCTCATGTACATAGACAGACCACAAGTTGCAGGTAGCCTCAGTTGTATGTGGGGGGAACTCCCAGACCTGCCGTTGCTGGTTGTGGCCTAGCTCATGGATGGGGCCCCAGATGCCATTAGACCTTATTTTCTTCTCATTGACTAATTCCCCCGCTGCCTTCTTGTGGCACATGACGGGGTATCCTGAATGCATCCAGCCTGTGGAGTGGAGGAAGGAAGAGAAGGCAGAGATTTCTATGTGAGAGTCCCATCTACGACCCCTAGGTTATTCTCATAATGAATCTCCCCCGCCCCATATTCTCTCATGCACAACATTTTCACACTTATATGAGAATAGATGGATTCTCTTAGTCAAAACAGGGAAGAAACATTTCTCCCATTTCACCCCACCAGTCCAGCCCCAATTTCTTATCTCTCATATAAGTGTTACATTGTTTCTATGTGCCTCTAACATTCTGTCAATTTTGGAATCATACACCTGTACCATAATGCTCCATGCATTGGGTTAAGTTTTGTGTTTTTTCCTCTTGTAGAAGCCAGGCTGTATGGTGAATAGAGTTCTGGGCCCTGAGTCAGGAAGGCCTGTGTTCCAATCCAGCCCCAGACACTTACTAGCTATGTGACCCTGGGCAAGTCACTTAATCTCTATTTGCCTCAGTTTCCTCAACTACAAAATGAGGATAACTAAAAGCACCTTCTTCCCAGGGTTGTTGTGAGGATAAAAAGGTAATACTGGTAAAGCATTTAGCACAGTGTTTGGAACATAGTAGGCACTGCATAAATGCTAGCTATTATTTTATATATTTTTACACATTGGTATATCCCCTCTGTAGCTTGGGAAGATAGGAATAGTGCAGATTATTTCCCTTTTCTTATGGTCAGCTTTAGTTATATTGTGAATTCTCCTAAAGTAAAGAACTATGCTCTTTCTTTCCCATTTGTGTAGCCTTTGGTGCTGGTCCAGGCCTCTGTAATCAGTGACTATTCCCTTAATCTAGGGCTTCCCTCTGAAATTGTCTCCATTTTATCCCGTGTAGATCATTTTTGTATTTGGTTGTCGACGAGCTGTTTTCCCTTATTAGAATGTATGGTCCTTGAGAGGAGAGATTGTCTTTTGCCTCTCTTTTTATGTCAGAATAGTGCTGGCATTCAATACGTCCTTAATAAATGCTTACTGATTTGTTGACTTGACTCCACTTATCTCTACCTGACTTCTGCCAATTCTTCAAGACCCAGAGCAGCATGTCCTTCACCTTCCACTGAACGTTCCTTAATCATTCCATTACATACTGAAGCCCCTGCTTTGAAATCATAGCATTTATTTTCTCTAGCAGTACTTTGTGAAGGCTCTTGTTCTGCACACTGAGGCACACAATAAAAGCTTACTGGAATAAGTGAATGAATGAATGAATTCCATTATTTGATTTTTGTGTTCCTTTTGAGATTTCAGTGTGGTTTTTCTCTTATTTTCCCAACTAGTTCATAAGCTCCTGCTCACTTGTACTATTACCCATCATCCATAATGCCTTCAATAGAGAAGATGATGAATAAATAATATTTGTGAACTTTGTACTGATTTCTCACATGCACAAGGCATCTCCCATCCCAACTTCCAGAACACCCACCAGCTGAGATCTGTACATCAGCCACGATCCTCTCAGGCCGAGGGAAAGGGAAGCTTATTGATGCAAGCCTGGCCACGGCTCCCATCATCTCATCCCAGAGATGAAGCAATGGCTCTGGGTCTTCCAGGTCTTGAAGATGTTCAGATGGCACTGTGAAGATGATATTGTCTGTTGCCAACTCCCCCCAGGGCACTGGGTAGTGGCGGATGGAGCTTTTCCACTCCTCCAGAGATGTCTCCCCTTTGGACAGAGATTGTGGGGTTAATGGAGCTATCATAGAATCTCAGAGACCATCTAATCCAGCCCATACCTAAACATGAACAGGAATTCCCTTCTCTCTGTTCCTGATAAGTGCTCAGTCAGCCTCTATTTGCAGACGTCCCGCTTTGGGTAATTTGCTACCTCCCAGAACAATCCATTTCACTTTGAGGAAGATCTAATTGTTAAGACTTTTTTTCCTTACATTGAGATAAAATTTGCCTCCATAAATTAAGCTCCCTCTTCATAAATTTGTTCCCTGAACCCAAACAGACTACAAATCTTCCTAATTCTACCTAACAGCCTTTTAAATATGGGAAAACTACCATATCCCTTCAAATCTTCTTTCTTCCAGGCTATATACTTGCAGTTCCTTCAATTAAGCCCCATATAACATACCCTCTAGTCATCCCGCCACCCCAGGTGCCTTTCTGTCTATGGTATAGCTCATTAATGTCTATCCTAAAATGGAGATCTGATCACAGCTTTAGGAAAGACCCAATATTACCTCCCTCCTTATGGACACTACATTGTTTTAAGTATTCCTTCATTTTTCTACTTCCTAAGGCTGAAAGTTGAAATTTTGATTTCAATAGGAGAATAACTCTAAGGGATCAGAGATTTAGAGCCAGAAGGGACTTTAAAGGTCCTTATAGGGGTTCTTAACCTTTTTTGTGCATGGGCCCTTTTAACAGCCTGGTAAAGCCTATGGACTCCTCAATTTTTAAGTACATAAAATAAAATACAGAATTACAAAAGAAACCAATTATGCTGAAATAGCTGTCAAAATATTCTTTAAAAATAAATTTGTGGATCTAGTACAACTCTGTCATTTTACTCATGAAAGAGCTAAAGTAAAATGTTCAGTATCACAACCAGTAAGTAGCAGAGTCAGGATCTGATCTCAAGTCCTTTGATTCTAAATTCAGTGCCTTTTCCCCTTTGGTATGCATCCTATCCCCATTTCTGCAGACAAAAGGCCAATCCTTGATCACCTTTCCTCATGCTCCCCTGAATTCTCCATGGACACAGGAAGTTCCCTAATGCCCCACCCTCAATACAGCTTCTTTCTCTTTACCAATCCAAGGTACTCATTATTTTCTTTCTCTATAACCTAGTCTATAATTCCTTCACCCTTTTTCCAGGTACCGTTGGGCTTAGTCTTCATGAAATCTCTACTCACCCAGCTTGAAGTAAGGAGCAGGCACAGCTCCAGTGATGGTGATTGACACAGGACCCAGGTTACTGTTCTTAGGTACAAGTACATAGATGAGGCCCCCCCAGAGGGAGGAGACTGACAGCTCTGGTCTGTTCAGGCAGCATCGGTGAATCACCACAGGTGCTCGGCAAAGCTTCTTGGCCCCACTGAGATCATCAGAGTGACAGCCAATTTGTACCTGGGAAAAGGGAGTCATGAACACAGCTAAGAACCACCGGAAAGTGTGTGCTAAATCATTTATCAGTGTCTGTCATGCAAAACTAGTCTTGAACTATGGGCATTGGGTAGGCAGTGACTCAACACTGCTAAGGGCTCATATATGCAGAAGAACAATATAGGCTCAATAAGGATTAACAAAATCATTGGTGACAGATGCATAATGAGCTGTTAAGGAAAAATAGGATGTTCTGATTATAACTCTTCAGTGATGACATTAGGAGATGAAACATCACAAATTGTCCCTCTCTGTCTGCGTTAAAGCACATATCCTGCATGGAACGAGAATCCAGTGTGACAAAACTTGGTAGCTTTTTGTCATAAGGAAAATTTTTATGTTGAAGAGAGAGGTATTCATCCCAGAAAGAGGTTGGGGGGAAGTAAAATAAAACACGGAAACTTCGGAACTTCTCTTCCTATTGGATAAAACACACCAGACCCCACACTCTCTGGATCTCTTGCTGTTTAAGATACACCATCTGATAGGATAGAATCTAGTCCAGAAACTAAACCATTTTGCTTGGAACTCCCTGGAAGGGAAATTGAGGACAAGAATAGGAAGGTAGAGGTTTAATCATAGGTATAGGTTGTTGGTGGGGGGGCTGTGGGAAAATAGGCTCACTAACATATAGTAATGTGAAGCTGCGAACTGGTACAGCCATTTTGAGATTTTGAACTATGCCTGAAAAGCAATTGAACTGTGCATACCCTTTGACCTACCTATACCAATGCAAAGCCTGTACCCTAAAGAAGTTAAAGAATGAAGAAAAGAACCTATATGTAAAAAAATATATTTATAGCAGTTCTTTTTGCAATAACAAAAACCTAGAAACCAAAAGGGAATGCCCATCTACTGTGGAACAGCTAAATAAATTATGGTTTATGAATTTAATGGAATATTACTTTGCTCTAAGAGATGAGCACTTAGTAAAGTGCCTAGCACATAGTAGGCACTTAATAAATGTGTATTGACTGACTGACAAAATGGAGGGTTTCAGAGAAAACTGGATATACTTGTAGAAACTGATAGGGTGAAGTTAGCAGAATCAGAACGATTTAGACAATAACAACAACATTATGAAGAAAAACAATTCTGCAAGACTTGAGAACTCTGACCAATGCTACAGACCATGATTCTAGATGACCAAAGATGAAATACACTGCCCACTTCCTGACAGATGAGCTTAAGATACAAAATTCAACATACATTTTTGGACATGGCCAATGTGGGAATTTGCTTTGCTTGGCTATGCATATGTATTACCATTACCATTCTTTTTATTTTCATTCTCCTTTTTCAATTAGGGGATGAGATTTGGGAAAAAGAAAACAAATGCTTGTCAGTAAAAAAAGAAAATTTTAAAACAACAGCACAACAACAAAAAGAACCAGAAGAATATGGTGGTGGCAGCCATAAAGAGAGTAAGTGGTGTTAGAGCAAGGAACAGCCATGAGGAGATATATATAAGATATATATATATATATATATATGTATATTTGTATGTATGTATGTATGATGTATGTTTGTATAGGAGAGGCAATGGGCAGGCACAGGGAGTTACCTGTAGGCCAGCAGTGGCAGCACAAGGCATCATGATGTTTGCAGTAAAGCCTCCAGGGAGGTAGAGTCCAGTGCTCACCCACACAGTAGCATCTGAAGAGAGACATAATAATGGATAGAATTCTTCTACCCTGACTCCCTCATTCTCTTTACCTCACCCAGATCTCCTATATCACCTCTCAGACCCCACCCCCAATCCCTCCTACAATCCTCATATCCTTTCTAAAGCCCTGATATCATCCCCAAGAGCTCTTATATCCCCTTTTCAGAGCCCATAGTTCCTTCTGGAGTCTTCACACTTCTTCCCAAATAATTGCTATCCTATCCTTGAACCTTAGATATCCCAACCCTTTCCCTACTTGCTTACCCTTTAACTACTCCCAATAATTCAAGCCCCATCCCCTTAAAGGAACAGGCTCTCAAGGCAACTGAAGTCCTGTGATGTCCTACTGGATTCATCCAGCCCATTCTTTCCCAACTATCCATTGGCCCTCATCCTCCATCTTTACCTGGACTAGTACCATTGATCTCCATGGTGACGGGAGGTCCTGGGGAGTACAGCTGGGATGGGCAAGTCCCATTACTAGCTCTGCGGATCAGTGAAAAGCAATCAGTCCCATTTTGAGCAAGCTCAGTGGCCATATGGAGCAGGGTGGCCTCACAGGAATTGCTGTGCACAGGGTGGTCCTGGCTGACGTGGGGGAGGCCAGTTTGTTTGAGCACCTTCCTCAGGAATCTATGTAGGGAGGCATAGGCAGGGATTCCTTCCGCAGGAATCTTCAGGAAGGCTTTACAGTCCTTTCCTAGCTTCGACTGCCAGCCTTCTGCCAAGACCTTGCTTCCTTTTACTTCATGCTGGAACTGAGACAATGCTGAGCGGAAGTGATAGTTTCCTTTACCAGGCACAAGGACAGGAAACCGGCCACTTTTTAGACTACAACCTAGGATGCTAAGGCCAAAGGGGTTGAGGATGTGGTTTCCAGGATAATCAGCCACAGCAGTCTTGCCAGGATTCTGAGAGGCCCACCACCAGGCTTGGCCACCAATCAGTAACCCTCCACCCTCTGCCACAAACTCATGGAGCTTCCTTGCCTCTTGGTCACTGTAAGCTGAACAGCAGTAAACACTTAAACCAGCGGTTAGGTGGGATTCTATGGTGCATTTCAGGCCTCTTTCAGATACCAGTGAGTACAGTTTTTTAACATTAGAGTTAACCCCAATTGTGCCCATTTGCCCTCCTGCCAGCCAGGTAATAGCATTGCACAGAAAAGGGCGCAGCGTGGGGGCGCAGAGCATGCCCTCATGAGCAGCAAGCACCACGCGACCCCGGCCATAGCGAGCAGCTGCCAGGAAGCAGCCCAAGGAAGAGTCTAGCCCGAGAGGGAAGGCCAAGGCCCCATGCACCAGAAGCTGAGAAGGCAGTCCACCAGTATTAATATCCAGTTCTGTGATGCCATCCAGGAGTTGCTGTTGGTCCTGAGAGAGGTCCTCCCCAAAGCTGAAAATGAAGCATTTGTTCCCATCAGTGGTTAAAGGAGTGATAAGGAACACAGGAGATGGGAATATTCCTGACAAAGCACAGTAGTCAGCTATTCTACATGAGCCATATTTCCAGGGCCCACTATATGTAGGGGCTTACCCAGATGCAGTCATAGAATCTGACAGCTGCAAGTGACCCCAAAATTCATCTAGTACCAGCCCTACCAGAAGCATGGATCCCTCTACAGTAAAAAGAAGCCATTCAACACCTGCTTGAACTCACTATGTCCTGAAACAGACCACTGCATTTCTGGGCTGTGCCACCTATTATGACAAGTTTGCTTTACTGACCCACCCTCAATGGTTACAGAGACTGGGGGGTGCAAAGTGGCAGAGGGCGACCACTACTGAATCTCATACAGAATTAAACACTGAAGAGGCAAGACAATCTGGATCGTGAAGAAGCTAGCAGATGACACTTTCTGGGGTAGCAGGTAGAATGTCATGCATCCAGCCAGAGAGTATGATATACTTTGTATGATGTGAGGAAACTCAATGTAATATGTGTCCACATAAAATAATAATTATAATGATAATAATAATGTATGTAGATAATAATAATGATAATAATTATGTAGAAAAAAAAGATAGGCTTCCTTACAATGAATTACAATCTTATTCCATATAATTTCTACCATTGTTCCTCGTTTTGTCCTTTGGGACTAAGAAAACAGATTCCCTCCTCCATATGACAATTCTTCAGTCACCTGAAGACAACTATTAAGCTATCATGTTGCCCTACTACTTCTCTATGCTAAACATTCTTAGTTCCTGTACTTATAAGTATGTGGCATGTTTTCCAGTGTCTTCTTCATTCTGGCCACCCGCCTTTGGACTGTATACAATCTGCCCAGCCCTTTCTGTATCAGTTCATGCAAGTCTTCCCAGGTTACTTGAAACCATTCTTTTTATCATTTCAAATAGCTTAATAATATTAAACCATAGACATTATTTTCAGCCTTTTTTTTCTTTTAGAGAAATGAGCAAAGCAAGGATTAGTATTTTTTAAAAATGTGTTTCATTGAATCCTTCCACAGAAGTTCTTTGGTACATCATGGAGGTGACTAAGTTCTTGTAGTCTAGGTCAGTGTAGAACAGATTCCAGAAGGTTCTATTAAGCCTGAAAGGAAGACTCTTTCACTGATCCAAAGATTAGTCTGCTAAGTAAGGAGAGGCTCAGTTGGCCACAAAGTGGTGATTTCTTTTTGTTCATGAGCTAGATTAAAATAAAAAACAATCCTCAAGCCTCTGTGGCCCATGTCTGCTTCTGTACTAGTGGAAGAGCTGTGTTAAAGGGGGCAGGAGAGACTAGTGATCACATTGTCCTTAGACTATCTTAATGAATACTCATTCATCTAAATGTTGGTTCTCCTTCATACTGGCCAACCACAAAGTTAATACCTACTAGAAGAAATGAAGCACATCAATATTGAAAATTTTATTATTAATAAAAGCAAAAATAAAGTTTAACATAAATGGTTGGGCAGCTCTCAATTTCTTCTTAGAGAAGGCAATTAGAGGAGTTTGGTTTGTGTCCAAAGTCAACAAGAAATATTATTTCATGGGACATTTGGTCATCCTACCCTCCTCAGTCCAGGTGAGCATAAGGAAATAATTCACTATAAAGATAGTTCATAGCATGATACATTTAGGATTAGAAGGAATCTTAGAGATTTTGTAAATAAGGAAACCATGGGCCCATATTGGTTACCTAACATTACAAAGCTAGTAAGTGGAATCCTAAAGTAGAATCCTAACCTACATCTTCTCACACCAAGTCCAGTGGTCTATCCCCTACTTCAATCTGCCTCTTATACTATTGCTAAATAGCTGCGTAAGTGAGAGCTTATGTTTCAACAGAAAATTTAAGAAGCAGCAAAATTCTATGAGGATTTGGATAAAATCCACCAAAGTGAGTCAACATAAACATTCATAAATTACAGAATTTCAACAGTTTGAATTTACCTCAATAATCATGTAGTGTATCTCATGCACAAAAGGAAGCATAACATATTCAAGAAATGGTGATCCTGATTCTGCTTAAGTACTTCTACAAGAGGGACTCACCACTTTTCAAGGCAGTACATTGCATTTTCCAAAGGCTCTATATTTTTCATGAAATAAAAATTAAGTTTGCCTCTTTGTAATTTCCACTCTTTCCTCCTAGTACTGCTCTCTGGGGCTACACAGAACCAGTCTAATCTCTCTTCCATGTAAGAAACCTTCAAATACTTGCATACAACTATCATGTCTGCCCACATCTTGTCTCCTGTAGGATAAACACATCCAGTTCCTTTAGCCTATCCTCATATGGCATATATTCAAGGTCCTAAATTATCCTGGTTTCTCTCCATGAGCACCCTCCAGTTTATCAATGTCCTTCTTAAATTATGGTGCCCACTACTTCTCTTAATATGGACCAGGATGACATTGGATTTTGTGGCTATCACATCACACTACTGATTAAAAATTTGAGTTTGTAATCCACTCTAATTTCCAGACTTTTTTGTCTAATCATGTCTCCTGTCTCTTAAACGTGTGAAGTTGAGCCTTGTTACCCAGCTGTAGGTCTTTATATTCATCCCTATTGAATGTCATCTTATTATATTCAGTCTACTGAGATCTTTTTAGATCCAAACTCTACTGTCCAATATACTAGTTTTGTGGCATCTTTAGCTTAATTAACATAACATCTAATCTTGATTCAAGTCATTGTTAGAAATAATCCTTGGAGCACAGGACCCAGAAGTATTCCATTGGACACTTCCTTCCTCACTGATGTTGAACCATTACCAACTATTCTTTGAGTCTAGACACTCTAACCAGTTTTGAATTCATGTTATTGTATTATCATATTGTCCATATCTTTTCATCTTTTCCACAAGAAAAGTATTAAATATTTTATCAAAAGCTTTGCTAAAATCCAGGTAAACCCTATCTGTGTATTCTCTACATCTACTAATTTAGTAATTCTATAAAAAAAATGAAGATAATTTCACAGTGTGGGCTGGAGTGTTCTAAATAAAACCACATTAGCTCCTTGTAATCAACACTTGCCTTTGAAGAGGTTCAACAATCACGTCTTTAGCAATTCATCCTAGAATTTTCCCAGGAATCAAAGTCAAAGTTTGAAGACTCCTCTCTTTCCTTTTCTTTAAATCAGGATGCTTTATTTGTCCTTCTTTAATCTTCTGGTTCTACTCCTGTTTGCCATGATCTTTTTTTTTCTTTTTTTAAATATAAATTTATTTATTTTTAGTTTTCAATATTTACTTCCACAATAATTTTGAGTTCCAAATTTTCACCCCATCTCACCCCTCCCCCACCCCAAAATGGCATGCATTCTGAATATCCCTTCCCCTAGTCTGTCCTCTCTTCTACCTCTTCCCCCCTTCTCTTATCCCCTTCCCCTTCTATTTTCCTGTAGGGCAGGATAGACATCTGTACCTCATTTCCTGTATTTCTTATTTCCCAGTAGCATGTGAAAACATTTTTTTAAACATATGTTTTTAAAACATTAGGTTTCAAATTTTCTCCTTTCCTCCCTCCCCACCCACCCTCACTGAAAAGGCAAGCAACTCAATATAGGTTATACATGTGCAATTATGCAAAACACGTCCATAGTAGACATGTTGTGAAAAACTAGCTCTATTTCCCTTAATCCTATCTGCTCTTCCATTTATTCTATTCTTTCTTTTGACCCTGTCCCTCCTCAGAAGTATTTGTTTCTTTCCCAATCTGCCCTCCTCTCTATCATCCCCCTGCTCTCTTGTCCCCTTCTCCCCCTATTTTCCCGTAGGGTAAAACAGATTTCTATACCCCATTGAATGTGCATGTTATTCCCTCCATAAGCCAAATCCTATGAAAATAAGATTCACTCAGTCCCTCTCACCTTCCCCCATTCCCCCCAGTGTAAGAGCCTTTTCTTTTCTGTTTTTTTTTGTGAGATAATTTACCCCATTCTACCTCTCCCTTTCTTCTTCTGTGAGTATAATCCTTTCTCATCCCTTAATTTTATTCTCCAGATATGACCCCTTAATCTTCAACTCACCTTGTGCCCTCTATCTATCTATCTACCTATCTATCTATACATACATACATACATACATACATACATACATATATTTTTATTCCTCCAACTACCCTAATATTGACAAAGGTCTCATGAGTTATAACTATCATCTTTCCATGCAGGAATGTAAACAGTTCAAACCTTAATAATTCTCTTATGTTTTCTCTTTCCTGTTTACCTCTTCATGTTCCACTTGAGTCTTATATTTGAAAATCAAATTTTCTATTCAGCTCTGGTCTTTTCATCAAGAATGCTTGAAAGTCCTCTATTTCACTGAATGACCATTTTTTCCCCTGAAGGATTATACTCAGTTTTGCTGGGTAGGTGATTCTTGGTTGTAATCCTATCTCCTTTGCCCTCCAGAATATTATATTCCATGCCCTGCAGTCCTTTAATGTAGAAGCTGATAAATCTTGTGTTATCCTGATTGTGTTTCCACAGTACTTGAATTGTTTCTGGCAGCTTGTAATATTTTCTCCTTGAACCGGGAACTCTGGAATTTGGCTACGATATTCCTAGGAGTTTTCCTTTGGGGATCTCTTTCAGGAGGAGATCTGTGGATTCTTTCAATTTCTATTTTGCCCTCTGGTTCTAAATACAGGGCAGTTTTCCTTGATAATTTCTTGAAAGATGATGTCTAGGCTCTTTTTTTGATCATGGCTTTCAGATAGTCCAATAATTTTTAAATTCTCTCTCCTGGATCTATTTTCCAGGTCAGTTGTTTTTCCAATGAGATATTTCACATTGTCTTTTATTTTTTCATTCTTTTGGATTTGTTTTACAGTGTCTTGATTTCTCATAAAGTCACTAGCTTCCAATTGCTCTATTCTAATTTTTAAGGAAGTATTTTCTTAAGTAATCTTTTGGACTTCCTTTTCCATTTGGCC